TACATCCAAGTAACTCGCCAACCTTGATGGGGACGAACTCAGAGAGATAACATCAGGACACATTATAATCAAACTGCTGAAAGACAGAGAAAATCTTGAAAACAGTGAGAGATAAGAGACTCATCACATACAAGGGGTTCTTGGTAAGAGTAACAAACGGTTTTTAATAAAGGCCAAAAAGAATTAGTGGGATGAGGTATTTAAAATACTGAGAGAAAAAAAAAAGGCCTGTCAACCTAGAATTCTGTATCTGGCTAAACCATACTTCAAGAATGAAGGAGAAATCAAGATATTTCCTGACAAACAAAACTGGAGGGAGCTTACTGCTGGAATACCACCCTGTAAGAAACACTAGGAAGAGCGCTTCAGGCTAAAGTTACGACATCAGACAGTATCTTGAAGCCTCATGAAAATAAAGCCCATCAGGAGAGGTAATTACTTTTCGGTAGAAACTGTGGCTCCCTCCCGAATGGACACACCTTCTGCAGGATCTCACACAGCCCTCCACCTCCCCCAGCTCTGCTTCTGGCTTTGGGGAACTTCCAACACACACACGAAACTCGTGCCAGTGACTGTACTGCACACCACTTCTCACACACAGACACGCCCTCTTCCTCTCAGAACTGCACTCTAATTCTGAGTTACTTGACAGGATCACAGACCGGCTGTGGGTCACCTCACAAGACAATCCTTGTGCAGTCATGGAGCTGCCAGCACGGGCAAACCCTCAACAGGGAGCAGCCCTGCGAGGCCAGCACAGGAGGCGGGGCAGAGGCCAGCTGCCGTGCCTACAACCAGACGTCACTCGGCTCCCTCTTCTCCCACGGCACAAAATGGCATCTGGGCTGCTGTCAGCGTCACTGCTCAGATATGCTCTACCTCTAACGTCTGCAACCCCAGACACTGGCCGTGACCGGAAGTTTCCTCTTCCAGCTCATCATTAACCCTTCTACTTCATATACGCCTCCTCTTCATTAGCCTCCTGGGCCCAGGTGGGTGACAACCTTCTGGTTTTTAATTCCAGCAACACCCACCATTTCCATCTTTGTAATTCTCATCACCCTAAAAAGTTTTTATTTCTTGATGATTCCCCATCTTAGCAGACATTTAGTTTCTCCAATGCTTTACTTAGCTTCCCTATGCTCCTAGCTCCTAGAATAAACTCATTCAACAATGCAATCTCTGGCTGCTATAATTCCACACTCTCTAGCCTCACTAATTTCTGAGAGTTTCCTTCAAGCTTCCAACATTTCCCCAGTTAGCTCCCTCTGGACATCAAACAAACTTGAGAAACACACAGACATACCATATTTCTTAAAGTGATGTTATTACTGTAACAATGTCAATCATTCTGAAACTAATAAAACTTACATATTATTATTATTATTTTTTAATGGGAGGGTCCTGGGTGAAGGCAAAGGCAGAATTCTTTGGAGCCTGAAATGTAAGAATTTTGAAGTAGAAAGAGAAGAATTTGACCATGTTCTTCTAAGTAAATTCTTTAAAAAAAAAAAAAGGATTTATTTACTTCTCAGCAGAGTTACAGACAGAGAGGGAAAAACAGAGAGAGAGGTTTTCTATCTGCTGGTTCACTCCACAAATGGCCGCAATGGCTGAAGCTGGGTTGATCCGAAGCCAGGAGCCAGGAGCTTCTTCTGGGTCTCCCACATGCGTTCAGGTGCCCAAGCCCTTGGGCCATCTTCCACTGGTTTCCCATGCTATCAGACCTGGACCACAAGTGGGGCAGCCAGGACATGAACTGGTACCCATAGGGGATGCCAGTGCTGCAGGCAGGTGCTTAACCTACTATGCCACAGCATAATCTTTTCTATTTAGAGCAAGTGATCTGCAAGTTTCTATGGAAGAACCATGTGTGAGAGTTGAAACTTGAAAAGAACAGCCACAGCGTATCTCCCCATCAGTTATTAAAACTTACTTATACACTACTACAATAAAATACTCCACTGTCATTAAAATAGGTAATCAGATTAGTCTAGGTAGTCTGGAAATACATCCACATATTTTTGGGAACATAATGTAAAAATAGCATTCTATCTGGAAAAAAAGCAATAGTTTAAGAAAGGCTACTAGCAAATTTACTAGCCAATGACATAAAATCAAGTTATTCCCTTCCCTAACATCTTTTAATTTTTTAAGATTTTATTTATTATTTGAAAGGCAGAATTACAGGGGAGGGGGGAGACACACACACACACACACACACACACACACAGAGTGTATGTTTCCACCCACTGGTTCACTCCCAAATGGCTACAATGGCCAGGGATGGGCCAGGCCAAAGCCAGGAGCTTAGAACTCGACTGAGGTCTCCAATATGGGTGGCAGGGGCATCTTCCACTGCTTCCCTGGGCACATTAGGAAGGAGCAGGATCAGAAATGGAAAAGCCGGGATTTGAACTGGTGCTCATATGGGATGTCACATCTCAGCCAGCGGCTTAACCTGCTATACCACAATGCCAGCCTCATAACTTACTTTTAAAAATAAAATGAATGTACTAAAACGACTGACTTTTTAAAAAAAAAAACAGATTTTTTTATTTGAAAGTCAGAGTTACATAGAGAGAGAAGGAGAGTCAGAGAGAGAGAGAGAGAGAGAGAGAGGTCTTCCATCTGCTGGTTCACTCCCCAGTTGGCTGCAATGGTTGGAGCTGATCTGATCTGAAAGCCAGGAGCAAGGAGTGGAGCAGGGGTCCAAGGACTTGGGACACTTTCCCAGGCTATAGCAGAGAGCTGGATTGGAAGTGGAGCAACCAGGACTCTGACCGGCACCCATATGAGATGCTGGCACCATAGGCAGCAGCTTTACCTGCTACACCACAGCACTGGCCCCAGAACTGACTTTTAAAATATTTAAAACACAATTACAAATTCAGATAAAATTTTGCAAAATTACTTGAATAAAGTCAGAACTGGAAAACCTTAAGGAAGATAGGAAAAAAAAAACATTGTTGCAAAAAGAGAAATCAGAAAAAGAACTGTTGTATATCATAAATTGAAAGTCCAATGCTATAAAGTTTTAACAATATATAAAGTGTCTCAGGTCTAATTCTGTAAAATTCTATTTTTATATTTTAATGATATTAAATACAGTTTTAGAGTCATAGGAGAATGGTATATTTGTTCTATAAGTTATCAGAGTTTCTGTTCGTTGCCTTATTTTTCTAGCTGAACAAGCTGAGAAACTACATGTGGTTGTACAAGTCAACTAAAGGAAATGCATTGATTGATACCTCAGTTCTATAACTTAAATTTAAAAAATGATTCTCTAAATACATGTCAGATTCTAACTCTAGAAAACTACTAAAATATTACTCTAATGTCTCTAACATTATTTCCTTTGCTAAATTCTTTGTATATGAAAGGATTAAGGAATTCTTGAAAATAAATCTTGAAATTAAAGTTATATTTAGGGAGGCTGGCACTGTGGTGTAGTGGATAAAGCCACCGCCTGGAGTACTAGCCTCCCATAGCCGCTGGTTCAAGTCCCGGCTGCTCCACTTCCCATCCAGCTCTCTGCTAATGCACCTGGGGAAACTGTAGAAGATGGGCCAAGTGCTTTGGCCCCTGCACCTGCATGGGAGATCCAGAAGAAGCTCCTGGCTTCTTCTGGCTTTGGATGGGCCCAGCTACAGATGATGTGGTCATTTGGGGACTGAACCGGCAGATGGAAGACCTGTCTCTTTCTGTCTCTCTCTCTCTCTTTCCCTCAGTCTCTGTCTCGCTGTAACTCTTTAAATAAATAAATAAATCTGTAAAGTTATATTTAGCTTAACATGTGCTTTGGTTTTAGTTAAGGTAATAAGATAAATGTGCTTTAACAAGTTAAACAAAACTGGAATGTATTCTGTCTTTGACTTTAGGCTATATGTTAAATTTCCCATACATTAAAGGGGTATACATTAAAAAAAGACAACCACACTTGGGTCCTTCACCCTGACTTGGTTTCAGTATGCTCTCTTGTTCATCAATGGGAGGATATCCCAGGAAATGGAAACATCTAAGCATCCATCAATGAAGAATGGAGGAAGAGAACGTGGTACATATTCACACCAGAGAACTACTGAGCCCTAAAAAGGAGGCCGTCCTATCACTTGTGACAACATAGGTGGAACTGGCCAGCCAAAGTTCAGAAAGACAACGCTGCATGACCTCAATCACACGTGGAAGCTAGAAATGTGGACCTCACAGAAGTGGTTCCCAGAGGCTGGGGACTGAAGTGGGAGGAAGGGATGGGAGACACCGGCCAGCAGGAAATAGAGTAAGCATGAAGAAATAAAGGGCTGGCATGTGGTGAGCTGGTTTCGACACTGCATGCGACACTGGCACCAGCTCCTCCACGTCTGAGCCAGCTACCTGCTGATGCGCCTGGTGTGATGGCAGCAGAAAATGAACAAGACAGTTGGGCCCTGCCACCCGCCTGGGAGACCTGGATGGAGTTCCAGGCTCCTGCTTCAGCCTGGCCTTGCCATTTGAAGAGTGAGCCAGCAAATGGAAGATCTCGCTCTCTCTCTCTCTCTGCCTGCCTCTCTCTCTCTCTCTCTCCCCTTTTCCCCCTCTCCCTCTCCCTCTTTCTCTCTCATTTCCCCTTATCTCTCTGTAACTCTGTCTTTCAAAGAGAGAAAGAAAGAAATCTTAAGAAAAGAGAGAAGTAAGTTCTGGAATTGGATTGCGCAGTAGGGTGACTATAGATACCAACATGTCGTTCATTGGCAGAAGGGTAGGAAAGCGGATTTGAACATCTTCAGCACAAAGACCTGGAAGCCGTTCGAGGAGATGGATGTGCTCACGCTGACTTGAACGCCACACAATACACACATGTATCGGAACACCACATACTACCCCCATAAATGCGTACGAGACTCATGTGTTTATTAAAGCTTTTACAGTGTCCTGGACAAAAACATCAAACAATATAACAATTCCCCCCCTGGGCGGCACCCTCCACGGTTGCGGCATCTTTGGCGGATGCGGCGGCGTACCCTGATTCCTCTGGCAGCGTGGAGACGGTGCTCCCGTCCATCTGACAGGGGTCCTGGGAAGAGGGGTCACAATCTCTCCTCTCTGGATTTGTAGCAATATTGGCTCCTCGCTGCTGCAAGTCCCACTTCCGTGCTACGTTGTTAATTGTTAACCTTTTCTTCTCCTACAAGAAAGTTAATTGTGACCAGAATCATGTGTCATTTTTGTATCAGAACAGAGCATCTAAGAAGCATGTTGTTAGTGCTTTCTTACAATACTTTAAAAGGAAGCCTACTCCTTACAAGTAACTAGCTACATAGTGCACAATCTAAAACAAATCAAGAGAGGCCTGTGCATCCAAACTTCTCATTGACAGCCAATCATTCTGCTGGGAAAAAAATGAAATGCACACAACAGTTATTCTATAAGAACTTAATAAAAACCAACAGATAACCCACTGGAGATTGAAAGTTCACTCTCTGAAATTTTAATTTTACATAAATTGATATGCCTCTGTGTTAAACATAGCAAGAAAAAACAAATAACATTTTAATTTCCTACCCAATACTCAGGACTAATATGGCAGAGTGAGCTCAGGCGGTCAGGGAAGAGGGCTTGATAGTTTTCCAAGGCCACAGCAGAAGCTGTAATGTCTGCACATTAAAAAATACTACCTGGACTACTAAGAGAGCTGTACTAGGCTGACATGGTGCCACACAAGTAGAACCATTCTGCAGGAAGAGAAAATAAATCAATGCACTCCACGCACTCTGACTTCGTGCATTTGGAGTAGGGCTCCAGGACGTGGATGCTGACAGGTGCTGTGAACACGACTGGTGCCCAGACCTCACTCTGAGAAGCGCTGGCCGAGTCACGGAGCTGAGTTCTCCCACAGGACTCTGCTGAGGATCTGGACTACTGAATGAAACTGTGCGAGGCTACAACATGTCCACTCATTTTACAACCCCTATTCTGATAAAGTCCTCATGATCAAAAGTTAACAGATATCAATGAGGTTAGAATAGGCAGTTTCTTTTTTTAAAAATTTTTATTTATTTATTTATTTATTTATTGACAGGCAGAGTTAGACAGTGAGAGAGAGAGAAAGAGAGAGACAGAGAGAAAGGTCTTCCTTTTGCCGTTGGTTCACCCCCCAAGCGGCTGCTACCACCGGCAGGTTGCGGCCGTTGCGCTGTGCCGTTCCGAAGCCAGGAGCCAGGTGCTTCCTCCTGGTCTCCCATGCAGGTGCAGGGCCCAAGCTCTTGGGCCATCCTCCACTGCACTCCTGGGCCACAGCAGAGAGCTGGCCTGGAAGAGGGGCAACCGGGACAGAATCCGGCGCCCCGACCGGGACTAGAACCCGGTGTGCCGGCGCCACAGGCAGAGGATTAGCCTAGTGAGCCGTGGCGCCGGCCAATAGGCAGCTTCTGATCCCTCATTACAGACCTGAGAATTCTGCAGGGAAAAGCATCTGAGTGTGAGACCAGCCTCTCACCTCCGGCTCTGGAGCCCCTGTCCATCCCCTTGGTGCATATACACACAGAGGGCAACTACATTATCACAACTCTTTGCCAATATTCGGTTTTCTAAGATTTTAGCATGCATGCTTAGCATTGGATAGGAATGAAAAATGATGTGGCTCGCTTAATTCTAAACTTTTAAAAGTTCTGTTTCTGTATTTAAGAATGTTGGGGGGCTGGTTGTGGCGCAGCAGGTTAAGCCACTGCTTGTGATGCTGGCATCCCATATAGGAGTGCCAGCTCAAGTGCTGGCTACTTGTTTCTGATCCAGTTTCCTTCTAATGCACCTAGGAAGGCAGTGGGAGATGGCCTAAGCACCTGGACCCCTGCCACCCCTGTGGGAGACCCAGATGGAGCTCCTGGCTCCTGGCTTCAGCCTGGTTCAGCTGGCCGTTACAGCTGTTTGGGGAGTGAATCAGCAGACAGAAGATCTCTCTCTCTCTCTCTCTGCTTTTCAAATAAATTTTTTTGGAAAAAAAAAAAAAGGAATGTTTTTGGCCCAGGTCTTTTTCTGTTGTTTGGTATTTTAGATATGTTTGTATGGCTACCCTTAAAATTGTCTATTTCTGAGACTTCAAAGATGTTTTACGTGTCCTCCTTAACTAAAGTGGAATTAACTGTTCCATGGTAAAACATTTTTCTCTTATCTATAATAAAAAGGCACCTTAGGAGTTCTGTTTCAGCTATGTGCTGGTAACTGTGCCAACCCAATTCTTAATGTAAGCAGTGATTCTGTTTCTACCGAGAACCAAGCTGATCTGAAAGGCTGGGCAGTGAGTTAACTCAGGACGGCTGTCAGATTGGCCCTGTGTATTCAGCTTTCTGGTGAGCAGAAGAAAGTACAGAAAGTATTTTTAACAAAACAGATATGCTTAGAAAAAAGGCACAGGGGCTGTGCTGTGGTGTAGCGGGTGAAGCCTCCACTTGCAGCACCAGCATCCTGTATGGGTGCCAGTTCAAGTCCCAGTTGCTCCACTTCTGATCCAACTCCCTAATGTGCCTGGGAAAGCAGCAGAAGATGGCCAAGTGCTTGGGCCCCTGCACCTCAGTGGGAGACTGAGAAGAAGCTCCTGGCTCCTGGTTTAGATAGGCCCAGCCCTGGCCATTGTGGCCATTTTGGAAAGAACCAGTGGATGGAAGATTTCTCTCTCTCTAACTCTGCCTTTCAAATAAATAATCTTTTTTTTTTTTAAAGAAAAAAGCCATAAACTATCTTTATACCACTGAGTAAGTTAACCAATTTATAATTTTTATAAGTGCCAATACAGTGTTTTAAATCCATGCCACAGTCAAGCTTCTTTCTCATGGGCTACTCAATCAGCTCGACACCAGGGTACACAGGAGGATGGGCAGTTTCCCTGGGTCCAGGAAAAAGGAAGAGATACTTTCAGACGGGAGCGCAGCCAGGGGCAAGTGGGGATCACTGGCTGGGCAGCTGACACAGAGGGCTGAGCATCTACAGAGCAAGGAAAAGCAGCAAAGGCTACAGGATGCCGGATTCTGCAAGGCAAGAGGGAGGTACTCAAAGAAAAGTTTGTTTTCAAAGCCCGCAGAGGCATTTAGTGTTTTAGCTATAATTACACTGCTAAGAACTAGATGGCAGTAAGTTGCTAAGTTTTGTGTTAAGTGACAAATATTGTAGAAGATGTCAAATTTCAAGTTGCGCCATCTGAGTTTGTTCACAGTGCAGGGAAGGCCACTCCAGCACACAGCACAAGTGTAGATCCCTCACTCACAGGCATAAGGAAACCAGAAAGGCCGCAGAGCAGGGGCTGCACACAGTATGTGCCCTCTTCCAGCCACCACCGCTGTCACATCCCCTCACTCACAGGCACAAGGAAACCAGAAAGGCGCCACAGCAGGGGCTGCATGCACGGTGTGCTCTTCCCAGCTCTGCACTGGTCCACCCCTTTCCAGAGGCCACCACTGGCGAGTGCTGAGGCCTGCTGCAGCATGGCTCCAACTGTCCTCATAACTGGCGACTTCAAAAGAGGCACTGCCTATTTGTAACATGTTCATATTTTCCAGGGGGTTGGCATGTAGTGCTGCGGGTAAAGGTGCCACCTATGACATCAGCATCCTATATGTATATTGGTTTGTGTCCTGACTGCTCTACTTCCCATCCAGCTCCCTGCTAATGGCCTGGGAAAAGCATCAGAGGACAACTCAACTGTTTGGACGCTTTTACCCATGTGGGAGACGTGGACAAAGTTCCTGGCTGCTGGCTGCTGGCTTCAGCCTGGATCAGCCCTGACCATTGCAGCTACCTGGGGGAGTGAACCAGTGGATGGACGATCTCTCTCTTTATCGCTCCCTTTCTCTCTGTAATCTGACTTTAAATAAATAAATAAACAGACCTTAAAAACAAAAACTTCCTAAGCATTAAAAAAAGTTTGCTAAAAATTTAATGGCATATTTCTAAAATGTTGATGCTAAGAAGCAACTGAATTGGGTATACAACGAAAGACTTTCAGGTTTTAAAGGGTCTAACAGTAATCAGGGATTTGTCTATTCCTCCTTCCTGTGATTGGGGCTTTCATGTAAGAGTGTTCTGCAGGTCTGTGAACTTCTCAACATTTGTGGATGTATTTTATTCATCCATTAATTCATTTACCTATGCATCTGACAACAGCAACTACCTGCTAGGGAACACTGCTTTTCCTAGAGGAGCCATTTAGAGAGGTTTGCCAATAGCATCCGCTGGCAATGGTAGCTATTGTTCCTACAAATTTTAAAAACACTACCCACAGCTATAGATCCTGTAATCCAAGGTGTTTTGGGCCAATCCTTAGGGATATGCCAGTATAGGAAATATTAAAATCCTGTTGGCTGAAACAGTAAAAGAACAAAAGGGGATACAACAGGCCAGGGCTTAGGCAGAACTCATTAATGGAAGGAGGGGTAACCTACAAGCTGGGGAGGTTAGGACAATGGCAGGCAAGGAAATTGTAGCTTGTGACCAACATGTAGTGCTAATGACTTTCACAGTCACAGCCCTGACCTGAGAGGGCTTGGGAAGACGCCCTGCCTCCCTTCCTTCCAGTTCCCATTAAACAGCACACAGATTTCAGTGCATGATTTGATCAGTTCTGATAAATGCACACAAGTGCGCCTGTCTGGCGTCCCCTCGCCCTTGAAAGATCCCAGGACCTGCCTATCACCCTAGAAAGTTCACTGGCTTCCTTGGACTAGTACATACAACTCTTATTCCTGAGACATTTCTTGAATTGTGATTGTTATTTTAATTTTGAAAAGAGAAGCACCTATATTAGATAGGACAAGAATGAGTGATGGTAATCAGATGATACCCTTATCGGGGAATCCAGGTGGATACACAACACAAGCTGTGAACTTTCAGTCATCTTTCTTGTAGTCTGTGCTATTAATATAAAATATTCTCAAGGAAACACTGTATTTAAGGAGAGTAATATATGCTAAATCATTTAAAGCTAGTTTAAAACAAATTCTCATTCCTAAATTCCTCAGAATCTTTACCACTTCTATTTCAGAGAAGCTAATACAGAAATTTCTGAAATTTAAAAAGTTAACATTTTTTTTTTAAAAGGAACATGTTAGAGAGCTCATTAAATATATAAAGATAAGTCTAGTACAGTGCTTTGCAAAACCAAGTGCACACACATGGGACACACAGGATGATGTACTTGTATGGAAAATGTCAGAACTTCTAGTATATTAATGTCTTCCTTTAAAATGTCTAGCTTTTCCATTTATTTTATAATGTACAGTATTATTTCCTGAGTATAGATTTATTCATATGCATAGTAACTCCTAAACATTTTAGAAGTGCTTGCTTACAAAAAAAGTCTACTTTCGGGAATGGGAGACGGACAGGTCCCGGAACCACTTTACAGCTGGCTGGCTGCAGTTGCAGATGTCAGAGAAGTTACCTTGAGCAAAGATTGCTTGTGACTCTCCCGCTTCTTCTCTTCCTCTTTTTTGGCTACGACAGAAGCCATACGCCTTTCTTCTTCCTAAAACATTGTTTCAAAAGTATTATGAGTGTTCAAGCATGTTCTAGTCCTAAATACCTTTTTCTGGCAGTTTGGTTTTGTCTTGGAAGGCACACTACCCAACCAAGGAGGTTACTATGTTTCTCTTTATTCTCTGCCCGCAGTTGTATAGAATCAAAACGTTAGTGAGCTTCTTACTACCAGTTCTGGTGTGACATCACCTAATGCAAGAAGGAAAATCCAAAGACAAAAAGGGTGAGTGGGAATCTGCAGCTTTTTCTTAAGCTTACCTCAATAAGGCTGGAAGAAGACAAAAACTGAAATAGCACTGTTGTACATTCTAGAAAAAAATTTTAAACTCAGCCATGATACCAATGTTCTAGCTTAACCCTTACAATTTCTGTGTATTGTATCACATCCACTTTTCACCTATGCAAACTTCTAAAAATTGCAATCTGTATATACAATCTAGACCACATTCTACCTTGAAAAATATAAAATTCTAATACAGAAAACTGTAACTATGTAACTTTTCATTTTCATTGACAAATGATCTGTAGATACTGAAAATGATGTCACAATTTGAGAAAACAATTTCTCCATAAAAGACAAGCTTCAAAATATCTTTAGAGACAGAAACTATAGAAAGTAAACAATCAGGACTAAAGTTGCAAAACCCTTTCAGAGATGAAAAATGACAAGAACCTAAATTACAAATGCAGCAGAGAGGACTCCGCCCCAGAGGGCAGACAGTGAAGTCACTGACCGGGAAGGAAGCAGGAGACACCTGCCCCGTGCTTCCACAGCACTCTGCACTTCTCCATCGCAGCCCCGCCTGGTCTCACAGCAGGCAGTACTGCCTGTCCCTCCCTCCTCCCGCCCTGTCACGCAGGAAGCTCCATGAGTTTGCGGACCATGTCTGCCCCAGGCAACAGCATAACTCAGTAAAAACACAAGCAAGGACCAAACTAATGAATATATGCTCAATAATTTCCTAAAACGGGAACCACTAAGTCAAATGGCAGACATATAGGTCTTCAAAAAGTTTATGGAAATATGCATTATCTTTTCATTTTTCTTTTTTTAAATTTATTTTTATTTTTATTTATTTGACAGGTAGAGTTATAGACAGTGAGAGAGAGAAAGAGATAGAGAGAAAGGTCTTCCTTCCATTGGTTCACTCCCCAAATGGCCACCATGGCCAGTGCTGCGCCGATCCAAAGCCAGAAGCCAGGTGCTTCTCCTGGTCTCCCATGTGGGTGCAGGGCCCAAGCACCTGGGCCATCCTCCACTGCACTCCTAGGCCACAGCAGAGAGCTGGACTCTAAGAGGAGCAACCAGGACTAGAACCTGGTGCCCACAGGGGATGCTGGCGCCGCAGGTGGAGGATTAACCAAGTGAGCCATGGTGCTGGCCCCCCAGCTTTTCATTTTTCCACAAACTTTTGGAGGTATCCTTGCATTTCTGGGGCTCTGGATGTGTTTAAAGGCTGTATACCACAAGTGCAGCACTAACTATACTCCAATCAGAAGCTAACATTCGATTTAAAACCTGACGGGCAGTCATCAGGGATGTTCACCAACCACTCCTGGGTCTTCCACGCTCAGGCCGCACTGTGCTATTTTATCATCAATAAATACTGATTTGGTACCTATAGGGTTTAATCTGTTTCAGACTGAACTTGGAAAGAGCCAAATGTATTGATACTCCATTGCTGACTCGCCTATAAAAGGTGAACTAGAAACAGATTAGTTATTCAAAGAGCCAGGTTCAAACAGACCTGGAAATGAAGAATCACATGTAAGAGACCTAGAAAGTGGGGATCAAGTCCAACAATTGGCCTGGAAACTGAGGTACACGCACAACAGGGGTGGAAATTATGGTTCGTGTACAACAGGAGAGGAAATTACGGAGCGTGTACAATAGAAGTGGAAACTGCAGATGGTGAACAATAGCACTGGAAACTGGATCACGTACACCATATACTTAAGAGGTGATATCATCAAATTTTCAATAAGAACTTGAATTTCTATTAAAGGCAACAGGACTTTAAAAGGAAAGCTAAACCTTGGAAAATTGGGTTTACACCAAATTCATTCACATATGGAGTGCTTTAAGGAATTTTTATATTTGACGACTATGTTTCAGTCCAAATAATTATATAGTAACCATGAATAAAATAAAACTCTGTGAAGGTAAGGTAAGCTTTAAATCCATTGTTAAGAAAGAAAAAACTGGGGTCAGGGTTGTGGCACAGCAGGTAAAGTCGTTGCCTGAGTTACTGGCATCCCATATAGGTGCTGGTTCATGACCTGGCTACTCCACTTCTGATCTGGCTCCCTGCTAATGTGCTTGGGAAAGCAGTAGAGGATGGCCCAAGTGTTTGGGCCCCTGCGCCCACAGGGGAGATCCGGATGGAGCTCCTGGCTGCTGGCTTCAGACCGACCCAGCCCTGACCATTGTGGCCATCTGGGGAGTAAATCAGCAGATGGAAAATCAATTTCTCTCTGTCTCTCTCCCTTTCTCTGTAACTCTGTCTTTCAAAAACAAAAATCAATAAGTTAAAAAAAATAAAGAAGAAGAATTAGGAAAACACTGTAAAATTTGGGCATCTTGGGGTATTTAGTCCAATTTCTGGGACAAAAGCTGTATCTTTTGTTAGTAAAAGAAAAGGATCTATCTGGGGGCAACAACAAAACAAACAAACAAACGTCGCCCTTCTTCCTCATTTCACACAGTCCATGAAGATCCACAAGAGAAATGCTGCCAAGTGAAGTGAGCAGCGCAGTGACGTAACGGCGTCTGACAGCCTAGATCTTACTTTGTTAGCACATTAAGGCTCCAACACAACGCATATTTCATATGACAAGTTTTGCTAGAAATAAGTAACGGCAGCCTTCATAGAGGCAGAAATGTGTGATGTGGGATTTCAGACTGTAAACAGCAATGTGCTTTTAACCGTATACATCCGAGCAGCTACTGTTTTCTCTGAACACACAAAATACTTGAACACTTAAAACCATAGCATTTTCCCAAGAAGACACAGCCAATACTTTCCTTTTTAACAACAATTTTTAACACAACAAAACTGTTAAGGTCAAGATGAGGAGTCATGTCACCTGACTTCTCACGGCCCAGGAATAGCGGCAGTTAATACCGGGTGTGGGACCCCGAAAGGGGCGTAAGCGGACAACTTCAGAATTCCCACTGGCTCGTCTGTCATCTCGATCACGCAAGAACACTGCAACTGACCTCAGCAGAGAAGCTGAGTCTTTGTGGGTGTGTAATGGACAGCATTTTCGGCTTCAGTTTGTGTTTCCCTGGTAACAAACAGTGGGAAAAGGCACAGACACTCACTGGCTTTCAAATGCTTCTGCCTGGAAACATGGTGTATGCTACCTGTGCTCACCCGTCAGAGGGGAAAGATATTTCCCATTCCTCTACCCCAAAAGGAAGAGAGAGCATGAGTGACTTCCTTGTGCCTGAGATGAGCTCCTCCACTTACTAAGAGCAAATGGTAAGCACGTTCATACAAAGCCAACCAAGTGAGGGTTTGAGGTGAGAACTTAAGACACGATTATGAGAAGAGTGTCTGCAGTTGCAGAATGTGGCCTTAGACTAGAAAGAGGAGGAGGGGTCGCCATGGTGCAGCACGTACGCCGCTGCTCGGGAGTCTGCATCCCACACCAGAGTGCCTGGGATTGCACCTGCTTCCACAGCAGAACCAGCTTCCTGTGCGCAGGCCATGCGCCAGTGGCACAGGCAGGCAGACAGGATTACACTGTTACATTTGTGAGCTGGAGACACGCCTTCACCCTGCCCCCTTTTGTGATCTCACGCCCCTACCTGACCTCACCTGTACGCCCACCTGCTATCAGACTGCGTACCCACTCCCCTTTGGAAGTGAATAAAAGGCCTGGAGCCCCTGGGCCCGCTACCTCTTGGCGTGGGTGGTCTTTTGGCTGCCCCTGATACGGGCTCACTGGCATGCCCATGTGCTCTCTCTCCCTTGCACCCTCTGGTCTACTCCCTGGAAAAGCCTAGTAAACTTCTAAGCTCCTTCTCCCTCTTATAAAGCCCTCACTTCCTTTGTATTTCTCTCACTGAATAAATGCTAAAACCTTCTATGTTAGCTGTTTTATTCGAGCTGGTAGTCAGAATTCCTATCTGAATAGACAGCAAAACTTTTGATATATTAATATTAAAATTATTAAGGCCAGCGCCGCGGCTCACTAGGCTAATCCTCCGCCTTGCGGCGCCGGCACACCGGGTTCTAGTCCCGGTCGGGGCGCCGGATTCTGTCCCGGTTGCCCCTCTTCCAGGCCAGCCCTCTGCTGTGGCCAGGGAGTGCAGTGGAGGATGGCCCAGGTGCTTGGGCCCTGCACCCCATGGGAGACCAGGAAAAGCACCTGGCTCCTGGCTCCTGCCATCGGATCAGCGCGGTGCGCCGGCCGCAGCGCGCCGGCCGCGGCGGCCATTGGAGGGTGAACCAACAGCAAAGGAAGACCTTTCTCTCTGTCTCTCTCTCTCACTGTCCACTCTGCCTGTCAAAAATAAATAAATAAATAAATAAATAAATAAAGCTAGGCAACTTCACAAGGAAGCAGATAATGGCTCAGGTACTTGGGTCCCTGCTACCCATGTGGGAGACCCAGATGGAGTTCCTGGCTCCTGGTTTTAGCCTGGCCAAACGCTACTGTTGCAGGCATTTGGGGAAGTCAACCAGAGATTTCTTTCTCTCTCTCTCCCTCCTTCCCTCCCTCCCTCCCTCTCCCTCTCCCCTTTACACACGGTCCTTTCAGGGGTGGGGAACACCCTGCCTGCTGCCTGTATATGGCCTACAAAATCCTTTGGTCTGGTCCTGCCAACGCAACCTAAGACAGGACTCAAAAGTCAATAAATCTGGCCGGCGCCGCGGCTCACTAGGCTAATCCTCCGCCTTGCGGCGCCGGCACACCGGGTTCTAGTCCCGGTCGGGGCACCGGATTCTGTCCCGGTTGCCCCTCTTCCAGGCCAGCTCT